AGGAGCAAGGATGGTATGTGCAGCCGACTTACACTCGCCATGAAGATGATACCGCCTGCAATGAGCCCGAAGGACGCCAAGAGCTCGGTGGGAGGCCGGGACGGCAACACCGACTTGGGCGGGCGGAGATAGACGAGAACATAGGTCAGTGCACGGGCAAAGGAAGAGCCAAGGAGAAGATTGCCCCATTGCTTGTGGACCATGGTGGAAATCATGGTGGACTGGTGGTGGGAGCTCATCATGATGCCCAGAAGCAAGATGACAAGTGCAGGGATCGGGTTCAGGGAGAACTCGTACGTGGTCGGGGGGCTTCGCAGCTCGCGCTCCTCGTCGGGAAACGTGTCTGCCGGCATAGCGTCGCTCACGGTTGTGTTCAAAAGATCGCGGATGCGCGTCGATTCAACGAGAATCCCGCACTAGACGACACGCAATGTTAGCACAATAGGCCGCGTTTACGGATGCGAACGGCCGCAAGACTTACCAATCCGCCACCGATGAAGAGGACAGTGATGGCCATGTGCTCCAAGTCCTGCGCCGACCACTCGCCGCCCCAGCCACCGAGGTGCTCGAGAAAGATGTTTGTGGAGCCGTAGAACAGGATTAGAGCGCTCTCGACGAACTCAGCAGACGGGCGCCACTTGCTCCTCTGGTGGTGCCGCGCGCGAGGTCGCACATTCCAGGCCCAGCCGAGCTCGCCGAAGCTGCCGGACCAGCGGCCCAGAGTGAAGAGCCCAAGCCAGAAGAAGACGCCTCCCTTGATCCAGTGAGCCAATCCGCTGAAAACGCCGGCTCCTTCCTGTCGTTGATTGAGGTGCAACGGTTAGCGATGCCGTCACGATGATTTTATCACACACGACTCACAAAGAAGCGGCCCAAAGTAATGATGCCAGTGGTCAACGCAATGAAGCCAAATGGCAGAATGATGCGGTCGACTATCCGATAAGCAAGGTCGAAGTAGCGCCACGCACTGGACGAGATGACCCGTGTGGCCCCGGTGGCTGCCCAGCTGGTGGCGCCAGGAGACGGAGAGCTGTCGGCCAGCTCGTCGTCGTGCTGATATTCCTTGCGCCGAGCGTGCAGAGGAAGGTCATGCTCGTCGTCCCCGACACCGTCGAGAGTGGAGAGGGAATTGGAGCGCAGCGACTCGGTGTTGGGCTCGGTGCCCTGCCCGCTGTCGTTGGACATGCGATACTCATCATCAGGCAAATCGGCCGAAAGGCGCATGAAGGCCAAAGACTCGGGCGACTTCCAGGCGCGGCGGCTTGTCACCGCATCGGCAAGGCGGCCCACCAGACCGACAAAGACTTGCGCCGAGACGACGGACGTGACGATCCATCCAATTTTGTGGTGGGCATTGTTGGGATACAGGTCTGGCGTGTTGGCGTTGTAAATGATTGAAAAGCCAATGCCGACTGCGTTGGTGATGGAGAACAAGAGCTGAGAGGCGACGGTATACCGCGACTTGGCGAGAGAGAGCATGACGGCTTTTTGGCGCGAGCGTCAGTTACACGAAGCCGAACAAGGCGGCCGCCTGCGCGCGACGCAGCGCTACGCTGGGCTGTACATACCGATGGGAAGCACAAAGACCCACGCAAGAACCATGAGAGCGATGTGAGCGTAAATGACCCCGACGTGGCCTGGGTGAGCAAAGTACGTCGGCGGATACTGAGAGGCGGATTGCTCGTGGCCGGCCTCGCCCATGCCCGTGTCCATGTCCCCGTCCCCGTCCATGTCCATGCCCATGCCTGTAGCCGCGGCGTCGCCATGAGCGTGCGCCCTGCTGGCCAACACCGCGGTGAGCAACAGAGCGCTGGCGCTCACCCGCAGCGGCGCAGCAACGTTCATGGCAAAGCGAGGCAGGGCGCGACAACTTGGATGGCCGAGCGGGGATTGGGATTTGGCGGCGGCGACGTTCCTTCTGAAGTTGCTGCCCCGGCGAAGCAGCAGGCAAAGCGTTCGGACTGGAGAAACTCAAGAGGTGGTGGGGGAGAAGCCGATATCACCGCAGTGTCCACGACTCCACGCCCTCGCCGCCAACCCCGACAGGCGGACGTCGCAACGGGCACCAGGTAGCAGCGTTGGATATGCGCGACCGGTATCGACGAGAGCTTGCGGGCTTACAGCTGCCGTGATTCGTGACGGCGTCTGTCCTTCCCGGCTTGCCGAATGCTGAATGTACGGGCACAAGACGGCGACGTGTCGACCGTGGACGGGCAATTACTAGGCGAGGTAGATGGTTTACTAGGCGAGGTAGATGGTCAATGCAGACTGAGACCTGGAAGCGCGCGTGCGCCAGCCGGCAGCAGGCTGGAGCTCAACGGGCGGATAAGTCGTCAAGCGGGCAACAAGGCAAGGCAAGGCACGGCAAGGGCTGTTGAGAAACGGCGAGGAAAGGAGGGCGTCAAGATTCAAGATTCCAGGTCTGGTCACGGACATGGCTCCGGTCTCTTATTATTTCGCCGCCGGCGCTGGGGCAGCTGGGGTCACGGAGGGCCGAGCCTGCCGCAGACGTGGAGCCACTGACTGAGGTGAGGTGGACGGGGCCGGGCCAGGCATGGGGACAAGTGACAAGCACGACCACAGGATGAGGGCATCGAGAGCTGGCTGGCGGCCATGTACAGTACATGGACGGCTGGCGCTCCTCGGCGCAGGCTGCGGTTATTGACCGGCGCCGGGGGTGGGCTGCCGGGTGGCCGGCGCGTACCTCGACTTTCTGGTAGTGGCGGAGGGTCGGAGCTGGGACTGGAGCTGGAGCTGGGAGTGGGAGGGTGGCAGGCGGGAGGCTGGAGGCGGCAGCTGGAGCTGGCCGGTGGGCGGGGACTGTCACGCTGAGCAACCAGCCCTCCCACGGGTCCCGGGCGGCTTGCCCAAGCGAGGAAAAGGGCGATCGAGGGACTCCCGAGGCTTCCGGAGCACGGACACACCGCCAGGCAGGCACCTGGCAACTGCAGGCTGCGGTGCAGGGCGGTGCTGCTGTAGGTAATGGAAAACTGTGCCAGCGTCCAGAGGTACGTCGTGTGGGAGGGTCCCCCGTCGGCAGGCGCGGCCAGGCGTCATTCTAGGTTGCCGGTCGACGACGTCTGGGCGGGACGCGCGCGGGTGAGTCAGGCGCGAACCGCTTCGCCGACAAAGATGACTTGCCTTGTAGGCAACAATAACTCTGCGTAGTGGTGCTTGGCACATTCGGACTGCACGGAACCTCTAGTAACAGGTGTCTGCGAGCGCGGCAAGAACGGCGGCGAGGTACTGCACTGTCCCGTCCCGTACTGTACTGCACTACAACAATGGTTCGTCGGCATTAGCAGGTCTAGTAGTGCTGGGTCCTTTACCGCGCACAGGTCCTAACGCTGGACATCGACGCATCAAGGCACACCTAACTTACCCAGTAGTACGTCAATACCTGGTTACACGTCCCGTCTCGACCTAGGTACCGCGGGCAGTACTTGAAGGTGGTGCTAGGCTGTTACTCAACGTACTTGTCGCGGCCATGGGGTACTACCAAGGTACCTACCTACCTTACCTACCTACCTTGGATACTTAGGCAAGGTAGGTAGGTACTTATATCCGGGCATTTACAGCGCCCAAGGTCAGCGCTACAACTACTAGAGGCAGGCGTCAGAATGCAGACGCAGCGCGCCGCGACGCGACGCAACGAGAACCCTGCCGCGCACAATCACAGTCCGGACAGCAAAAGCCGCAGGCGCCGCCGCTGCACGTTGCTGCACGGCGATCACAGGTGGCGCAGGATATCGACGGCTGCCGAGGGGCGCTAAAGGGCGACGGGACCCTGTCTCTCCTGACAACCGAAACCAAGCCACAGCTCGGGCAGCCATAGGTAGGTTGGCAGCCCACCCGGGCAGCCGCCGGGCCAGCGGCCACGGGAAGGGCCAGTGGCCGGATGCTGGTCGCTTCCAGTGGAGGATGGATGTCAGCGAAAAGGCGGTGATAGGCCAACTAAGCCCGCGGGCCGGCAGTGACAGCCCGCGGTGCTCCGTGGCTTGTGCCAGCGAGCACGGCGTGGCATCCGCTTCTGCCCGCTGCCATCGAATGTCAGTCGACCGACGTTTACGTCAACGCCAACTTTGGGTTGCCCTGCCGCAGACCGGCAGTGGCTCTCCTCAACTCCGCACGCTTCATGCTCAACGTCTCCTTCTCTCGAGAAATTGTGTTGCATTGATCCTCCGCCGAGATGCGCGCCCCGCGTGTATGTGTCCCCACGTTCCTTGGCTCCCACCTCTAGAAGGTATGTATGTAGCTTCCTATGGCAGAAAATGATGGCGACAACTGACGCGAGAAATGAGACATCCCTGGATACCCGGGCAAAGTCGTCGACTCGCCGGGGACGCGTTGCCCAGAGGTTCAAGGCGCTGCTGACGTGCGGAGGCCGGCTACTTTTGTCATCGGCTTGTGGATGCCGCGTCGTACCTTGGCCCTGTGCTGATGACTGCCTTTCGTTTTTTTCTTTCATTTTTAGTTTCCCCCTCGCCCAGTACTGCGCGGCGCCCCCCTGCCAGCCACATCGAAACATCGGACCAGGGGACGACCGGCGGAGCAGCCTCAACCTCAGCCATGGTCACGCTCAACAGTGCTTGCAGCTTCTCCACCCACCTTCAGTTCGCCGGCAGCTTCGTCATATGGCCGTTCCCGGACAGAAGCGGGGCCCGTCAGACAGCGGACCCCGATGCCCGACTCACCCATCACCCGCCCGGGGTCCTGGCATGGTGAGCAAGGGGTGGTGGGGGGCCCGCCAGACTTACAGAACCCAGCTTGCCCAGCCAGCTTGTCGCCAACGATCCCTCGCCCCCCCGGTGACACAAGAAGAGATGGCTTCCGCCGCCGTCTCTTGTCTTTCGCCCATGTGCGCCCCGCCCAACGGTCAACGTCATGATGGGCCGGCCCATCTCGGTCTGGCCGGAGGGGACAACCCGTGTGCTCCGTCTTCTGGCAGCTGCAGCGCACAGTCCAGGACTCCAGTGCCTCGCCGCATCATCGCCCTGTGCCCGGCCTCGCCTGAGCCAGGACGCCCTTGGACTGACCTTGGCAAGGCGTTTTCGCCGACCAGGCGCGAGCTTGCATCTCGACAAACGTGCAGCGCCATCGGGTGCTGCTCTGGTGCTTTCATCCATCTCGTCTGACAGATGCAATGTTTTCCAGCCAAGACTCGGGGATCCTTGTCCGAACCGCAGACAGCCCAGTGACCCCACAGCCTCCGATGGTCCCCCAGGAGCCCAATCGCTACCGGGACCCCCAACATGGACTGCAGATGCGCCTTCCGGTGATTCCGGACGGGGGAAACACGGCCAAGGGCTTGTGAGCACATGACGCCCGTTGCGCCCCAGCAACCTCGCCTCGATTGCCCCGATCCTGCGCTGCGCAACCGTGCGCGAAGCCTCACACAGGAGTGGGTGACAGACTCACATTTACGCAAACTCACATGCCGGGACCTCCTGCTCGCCCACGTGCCTACCATGGCTGTGTTCGTCCGACTCCACACGAACGAAGCAGGCTAGAGGAGGGCACCTCCAGGTGGCATTCTCACCCTGGGTTCCCTGGCTCTGTGGATTTCACGCCAGAGTGTACAATAACTCGTCTGGTGCTGCTCGGGTCACACGCTCAACATGGTCCGGTCTCGCCTGGCAGGATCTTGCACCCGCTCAACGTGAATCTTGCTATCCTCAGGCGCCGGGCCCCGCCTGGCGGGAGATCCGCCGGCTGTGGGCTATCGGTACCGCGATGGCGGAGCCGGGCTGACGACAAGGCCCCGTGCCGACGTCGGGCGAGGCGGCTGAGGTGTGGGCCGCGGACCGGTCGTCAACAAACGGCGGCGGCGGCGGATGCACGTGCGACTTTGGATGGTATGGGGCGCTCGTGCGAGCCCCCAATATGTGCGGCGCTGCGCTCCCGCGCCAAAGGACACGACGGGCCGCGTTCGTAGTACACAGACAAGTAGTAGACGCACGCTGACTGATGGACAAGCTATGGACCATGATAGACTCAAAGCACGGGCTTGTCGCCAACAAGACCCCATTCGTCGCCAACGCCGGCAACTCGACCTTCGCGCTGCAGTTTGTCCAATATCTGCACGACACCCCCGCAAGCCGCAGCGTGGAGGCTGTCGGGGACGTCCCGATACACCACCTTGACAATATCCATGGCGCTCCAAGCCGAGGCCTTGGAGGACATGACCTCTAGAACCTGCTGTTCGCGCTGCCTCCGGTGGGCAACGTACTCGGCGATGCGCGCCGGCCCGTTCTCAACGACGGGGCCGTGGCCAGGATACGCGCGGCCGGAGAAGAGGGTCCGCATCTTGGAAAGGCTAGCGAGATAGGCTGCCAGGTCCTCGAAGACGGCGGTGCCGTGGCCGAGTACATTGTCGGCGGTAAACATGGCGTCCTCCTCCTCTAAGACGAAGACGACATGGTCCACGGTGTGGCCTGGCGTGTGCACCGCTGTGAGGGTCACTCCATCAACACGAAAGACCTGGCCGTCCTCAATAGGCGACTGGCCAGGGGCCGGGTCCATTTTGAATATGGTGGCGCCCGGGGCAAGGCTCTGCAGCTGGGCGATGCCGCCCGTGTGATCCTGATGCCAATGGGAGATGAGGGCGGTTTGAACGGTGGCCGCCTCGGACTCGAGAGTGGCCTTGAGCGAGTCCAACCAGGCCTGGCGGCCCTCCCCCGTATCGATGAGGATTCGCTGCCTTCCCGTGCCGAGCAGATAGGTGTTTGTACCTTGCAGCGTGAACTTGCCCGGGTTACCTCCCAGGATGCGGATGCACGCTGGGCTAAGGCGCTCGACAGGCGGCAAGGGCGCGCGTTGCTGGCCTGCCATAGTGATGGCGCGCCGCGACCCACAGCGGCAAGATAGTCAGATGCTCGTCACGCTCGATTGGGTGCTGGAAGTGGCCGCCTTTGCTGCTGCTGCTGCTGCTGCTGCTGTGGGGTTTCTAAAAGGAGCGCGCAGCATCCCTCTCTGTTTGGCGACAGCCGTGTGCTCTGTCTGCCTTGCGCGCGTTTTCTTGCGTTTTCTCAGGGTTTGAGCTGTGCGAGCGGGTTGGCTGCCGATGGATTTGTTTGCGTGACGCTGCCGACGGATGGCCAGCCGGTTGTGAAACTGGGCGAACTTATAATGTGTAAAGCCCGACGCGGGGTGGAAAGAGGGGCAGCGGAGAGAAGTGGGCTTGCTGCGCTGCCCCGTGACATGTGCCTCGGGCCGAGTCTCCGGAGAGGGCCCAGGCGCAGGCAGCAAGTGCTGGCGGCGGCGGCGACGTCGGCGTCGGCGTCGGCGCACGGGATTCGGAGCGGCGGCGGGGGAGGGGCGCCTGCCCTTTTTTTTCCCTGGCGCGGAGGAGCGGAGCGCAGCGCGCAAACGGCAGGCGCCGGAGGGAGCAGCGAGCTGCAACCACCTTGCAACTGCTACTACACACTACACAAATAATCCTCGCCAGATGCCTCAAATACTGGCCTCCTCATCCGCCACTCCGTCATACATTTTAGCGAGCTCTTGTGACTTGTCCATTGGCGAATGGTGAGCCAGCCCGACGACACGTCGCGACCCCAACCTCGGCACAAGCGCGTCCGTCGGCGTCCACTCCGCCAGCGCTTCGCCGAATGCATGTCTAAGACTGACGCTGCCCCTCGGCCCTCTCGCCTTACGCCTGCACCGTCTCCGCCGCCATGTCGGCCGACTTCTGGGCCGGCTACCTTAGCGGCGCCATAGGCATCATCATTGGCAATCCCCTCGACATCGTCAAGGTCCGCCTGCAGGCCGCGGCGGGCAGGGCGCCTGCGCCTGTGCCTGCGCCATTGCGCGCGTCGCCGTCGTCGCCCCTGCTTCCGACCGCTTCTCCCAGTCTCTTCTCGCGACTGCGCCCCGCCGCCGCCCTCTCCACGGGCACCGCCGCACCCATACTTGGTTACGGGGCCCTCAACGCCCTGCTCTTCGTCTCATACAACCGCTCCGAGGCTGCCATCAACCGCCTCATGTCGACACGAGACAGTCTGTGGGCAACCTGGCTTGCCGGCGCCGTGGGAGGGCTGTCCACTTGGGTCGTCAGCACACCGACCGAGCTCGTCAAATGCCGCGCTCAGGTCTCTACGCCGGAAGCCTCCAGCTGGGCTGTTGCCCGTCACATCTGGAATGCTGGTGGCATACGCGGCTTCTACTTCGGCGGCTTGGTCACAGCCCTGCGCGACAGCATTGGCTACGGCTTTTACTTCTGGTCCTACGAGCTGGCCACCCGCTGCTGGCCATCATCGCCCGACACCTCCCACAGCCCCTCTCGGGTCCTTCTTTGCGGCGGCTTGGCCGGCATTGTCACCTGGGCCAGCATCTTCCCACTCGATGTCATCAAGACACGTCTCCAGACCCAGTCCTGGGGTCCTGAAGGCCCTCCCCTGCGTCGTGCGAAACGGCTGGGCGCTTTGGCTGTCGCTCGGGATGCGTTCAGGCAGGGCGGCCTGCCCATCTTCTTCCGCGGCATCGCCGTCTGCAGTATCAGAGCCTTCGTCGTCAACGCAGTCCAGTGGGCTGTCTACGAGTGGGCGATGAGGGAGATGGGCGGTGGACGCGAGCCGCTGATCAATCCCACGGCTGTTGTGCTGGAGTAAGCCCGCTCTCCTGTGCAATTCTGTTCGTGCTCCTGGCAGCCGGGTATCAATGGATCGGCGCCCGTCTCTTGCTCCGCTTTGCGAACAAGCAGCACATATGCTGGCCGCGACAAGGGGTCCGCAAAGCGCATACTTGGCCCTCTGAGCTCGCGAAACCTTGGTTTCTGGCTTTCCCTTGGCCGTCCAAAGCTTGTCAATGGCCCTGCAGGTGTTGAAATATGCATCTTCAGGCCCCTGTGCTCCATCTCGGTACACGGTCTTCCATATTCTCTGCTGTGGTCTCGGATCCATTTGCATGCGCTTTCAACTCTCTCAACGAACCCGCAACTCGCGTCAGCTGTTCCCACCCGCAGACGAGGCGCGACGTCGCCTGTCTTACGGCTGTTCGATAGTGCTGCTCGGCTCATTGGAACAGTCCCTGCTACCCTTTTACCGACAAGCTCTATCCATCTTGGAAACTCTCGCAGTCACCAACCTGTGTCAGTCATGTCTTCCTGTGCCGCGGAAAACCGCCTTGACTTGTCAAGGCCAGCGACGGGGTGAACATCCATTGCCAGACTTTTCGAGACAACCGGTCAACATTTTCAGGCATTACAAGCAGAATCGTACGGGTTTTCCTGGGCAGTGATGTCCCTGTGATAAATCACCATTCGGCATCCAAATCGGACAACACCGTGCATTCTCACCAATACCGGAGGCGTCATAATAGGTATGGCTGTCCGGCAGGGCTTACACAACGTTCTGCCAAGGTCATCGAAGCGGCTAGGCGGAGAGGGACGGGGTGGCAACGGGAGGCCGCTGCATGATTTCGGCGCACATGGGACGCGCATTCTATAACAAGGCCATCTTGTCCGTCATCTGCCTCGTAGCAGCAATGACTATCGCATATTCGACAGATGGGGGCTCGAATTATGGGATCTGGACGTTAGAGGTTCGCAGATTGATAACAGCCTACTTGTTTTCCCCTGATTTGGGCTGGCTACATTCTAGTTCAACAAAAAGACTCAGGCACTCGAGAACTTCGAGTTCGACAATACTCGCCACGGCCATAGTAGAGAACGCAACCGTCACTTGTCAATCAATGCGACTGTAGTACCACGAATACGCATGCGTGAGACGTGCCTTCACACCGGCCGTTCCTCTCCTCCGCACCCTCCGCTGGAAATTTGCATTCTGCCGAGCACGATCCAGCATGCGTTCGTCGCTGTATTTTGCTCGCAAGTCCCTAGCATGTCCGGATGGCAAACTGGGCCAATACTGTTTTGCTGCCGATGGCCATAGGTAGGCACGATTATAGTCGGAAGCTTGACACCAATGGCTCCATTGTCTCACTTACTCTCTCCATCATATAACAGGCACCCCTTGAGCTACGGCGGATCTTCGATCCCGCGGCCATTGTCCGAATTCTCATTACCTCCATCCATCATGCCATTCCGCTCGCATCAGCCGCTTTGCGCCACCCGTCTAGTCCAGCGTCTGCTCGCCACTCAAGCGTCCCCTGCCCTAGATGCTGGAACCACTGGTTCAGAGCTCGGGCAGCTTGCGCCGCCACAGAGTCCTCGGCCAATAGACAAGGGTCCTGTGGGTTCTTGCGCTTCTCGCCAGCACCAGCAGTCTCCGCCTCGTCCCGCTCCTTTCGCTTCCTGGTTCGCTCAGACAGCCAGGCTTCCCGTCCGGCAAGATATCTCACGCTGTGTCCCAGAGCTGCACTACTCGATGCGAGCCCGCCGTGGCTTCGATCGAGTGGCGGCGCCGTGAAGAATAGGATCCGTCCTGCGCTATCGTGCTGAAACCCCTCACGCATCTCACGTGGGATCGACTCATTGACGTTCTCCGGCAGAGTGTAGACTTCTGGCGGCCTCGGCGGGTTGTAGATATTGGCGTGTGGCGCGGCCGTGTTGCCGCCCGGCGTGAAAGGCACATGAGCTCCTGGAGCTAAGTGCCCTTGGGAGTAGCCTCCGGTGAGCGGGTTGGCCATTGGCTGGTGATGTGGTGCCGCTGCTGGAGACTGCGGGTATGCAAGTGGATAGTTGGGGACAAAGCCAGGCTGGGGCTGGGGCTGGTGCTGGTAGTGTACAGGCCGCATACCACCCATCTGGTGTCCGGAGGCGGCGTGATGTGGCGGGTGGGGGATCGGCACTGGGGTCTGGTGCATCGCTTGGCCGCCCGGCGCCGGGGTCACCGGCTGGAAGTGAGGCGTCATCTGCGCGTTGAACGAGTTGGGCGATGGTGAGGGCCCAGGCGGATGAAACGAAATCTGGGCGGCCCTGGCTGAAACGTCTGCCTGTGCGTCCCTGGCCATGGACATCATCGAGGAGCGCCGCAACGTGTTGGCTTGCATGTCCGCCATCGAGGCGGTTTGCGGTGGCGGAGTTGGCTCGGGCGGAGGCGATTCCTGACAGCAGAGTGGATGGTCAGCGAAGGAAAGGGGACCTCGGATAACAGGAAGCGGCAACTCACATTGGGCTCTGGCGGCCGTCGATGCACAGCACCCACGATGGGCGGCGCATTGGGGCTCCCCCAGGTAGGGCGCGGGAGGTCGTCCGTTTCTTTGGCATCCTCGCGCAACAGGTGCTTGATCGGGCTGGGAACTTTCTTCATGCGCCGCGGCGCGTTGAACAGGTCCATCTCGTAGTCTCTCTCTCGCACCTCGTCTGGCACACAGCTCGCCCATGTCTTGATCTTGTTGAACCGGAACTTTTCCTCGTTGTACCGCGATTCGCAAATATAGACCTCCTTGTCAGGCGGGAACCCCCGTGGGCGCCCTTTGTTGAACCGTGTCACGAACATGACGAAACAGCGATCGAGCACGTCGCTGATCTGATGGTCGCGATACTGGCCCGTCTTGACCACCTCGTGCTCGAAAAAGTGTTTCTCGTAACGATGAACCGTCTGCTCGGGCCGGTAGTACCAGCAAGCATTGATCCATTTTTGGCCCCCGCGATCTTGCCACGTTCGGAAAATTTGGGCTACGATTGGTTTTGCCAAGTCATTGGGGTTCCGGATATGCACCCAGTCGCCTGCACCGCGAGTCTGTCAGCCTCCCTATCGTCAGTCCCCGGGCTGCCAAGCGATGCACGTACCAACTCTCCATGTCTGCCCATTGTAGATTATCTCAGCCAGAGGGAGTTTGCCATCTTCATCCCGAAAATCGTCGTCCGGCCTGGCCTTTTCTTGTTCGGCAAGCGTGCGGGCCTGGCTTTGGAGCTCAACTGCGGCCTGGTACACCTCGCTGTCGTCTTCGTTGTATTTCTTGGCATTCTCGAACATAGTATTCAGGTCGGCAAGGACTTGGTCCACGTCGAGATACTTCTTTCTTTTGGCCTTCTTCTTGATGTTGTCGAGGGCGATGGGGTTGGTGATTGCCTGGTAGTAATCGGGAACCACAGCCTTGTCTGGCAGCTTCTCGAAAGGCAGTATTAGCATGCTTCCGTCTGCATCCTTGAACTTCCTTAGGCCCTTGAGTATGGAGGAGATGCGGGCCTCCATAGGCGTGAGTACGCTTGGCGGGCGGCCTCTCTTCTTGTGGGCATCGTCCTCCTTGTCGCCATCGCGATCCTTCCGGCTAGCCGAGGATGGTCGTCTCCAGCCGGGCCTCCGCCGTCGGCGACGTCCTCCGGAGTCATCATCAGACGAGTCATCATCCTCATCCTCCTCTTCATCCTCCTCTTCGTCATCTTCTGCCTCCCCAGCATCCTCCTCCTCTGAGTCCCGTGAGGGGGACTCTTCCGCTGGCGGAAGCTCACCCAGGTCGGGGAGTTCGGCATCATCGACAGTAATCTGGCCTTTGTCTACCAGCTTTCCCAGTTCCTCATGGAAGATCTCGCGAAGGCGCACGGCAGCTCCGAATATGGGCGCAGAAGGTCGATTATAAACTTGCGCATTGTGACAAATTTGGGCCACATCTTTGACAAATTCGGCAAACGTCGTGTATAGCTTCTTTTGTGTTTTCCCCTATAGTTCTGTCGATTAGCGCTGGCCACCAGACTCCAGCGGTTCTATAGCCGCTGCCACTCACACGGATGGTGCTGAAGGCGATAGGCTCGGATATGACTTCGAAGTAGTCAGGCAATACGCGCCGATTGGGAATGCGTTGGAAACCTGCTGCTAATTCTTCACCGCTGTGTAACTGTTAGCCAACTTCGGGTGGGTCCAGATATGAATGCTATGGCGCGAGCTCACTCCTCTTCGACGGTGCATAGATAGGTGGAGAGCCGCTGGATGGTTTGGAACATGTCGTGGTCTTGCGCGCCTCCATTGTCGTCGCTGGCGTCGTCTTGGGCGTCGTCTTGAGCGTCGTCTTCAGCGTCGTCTTCGGCGTCGTCTTCGGCGTCGTCTTCGGCGTCGTCTTCGGCATCGTCTTCCCGGCTCATTCCACCGCCAGCATCATCATCGACTTCATCTGCGACGTCGTTGTCGTCGCGGTCTTTCATCTCGACATCTCGGTCGGCCTCGACGGCGTCCGCTGGTCTAACCCGTCGCCCGGACATGGCGGCGGGTGCGCGGCTGACTGCGCAGACGCAAGAGCGGTTGGCAGTGTCGGGCGTGTGATCGCAAAGGTGCAACGCCGCCGATTGGCAGCGTAGACTGCGGTGCGGTTTGTACGCTCGCTCGTGAGGACAGATATCGCTGTCGTCGCGTGTCCGGACCTCGAGTGTAGAGGTGGGAGGAGGGAGCGCGTGGATGCGGACGCGGTGGAGCTGGGCAGATGCGCATCCATCAACTTGCAACGACTTGCGACCCTTCCGAGCCTGTCAAGCCACACGGTGCGAATTTGAGCCTGGGATTCTCCGGCCCACAGACTGAGATCCTGGCACAACGCGGGCCGCCTCTTTCCCACACGTCGTCTATAGGGTACATTATTATGGTTGGCAAGTCATTATACAAGGATAGAAGTAATTAAATATGAATTTGTATATGCCATCCGTTCCGGGCATCTTCCGTATCATGGCTGGCAAAATGGCGCCGTCAGTTTTCTAGCGACAGAGCGCCCTGTACGGAGTACCTTCTTAGGTGGAACCTCAGGTAAGGTAGGCATTGTGAGTTGTGAGTGAGCACCACTAAGTACCCAGTGTGGGCGCACTATGCGATTTAAGCCACTTTTGGCAGGACATCTGAATGAGGTACTCTGGGTCCTGGGCAGGTACTGTACTCATGGACGTCTTCGCCGAACGAGGCACCCGGGGTACGTCCCCACTCGCCCCAGTACCTACCAGGTACCTGGTTACTAGGTAGGTACCTTAGGTACCGGCACCTCGGGAAAGTCCAGGCGGCAGACCATTCGTTACTTCGCTGGTGCCTGACGACAGTCGTGGGCAGGTACCTACTCTGTAGGTACAGGTAGATACGAGTACGTCCCTTCGTTGCCGAGTCAGGAGCGATTCAAGGTGCAAGGGGCACCACCGTTTTCAAGTTCACCAGGCAGGCACTTCATACTCTTAAAGTACCTTGTACGTGTGCTTACAGTTCATCGTGTCTTCCAGGCACTATCATCCCCAGGCACGCCTCTTACGACCATTGAAGTGCTCATCGCTCGACGCTCCCACACCACTCTCGGTTCTTCAGCAGCATCACGCATCCCCATTCTGCTCCTATCGGCTCCGGTGAACAATAATTATCCGCGTACACTCCGCTGGCTCTGTCGTGACTTACCAGTTACCACAGCGACGCCAATATATCAGCTCCTGGTCGAGTTCCACTTCGGGTACAATACCGGACTGTGACGACAGCCAACAACATACGCTGCATCGAGCGCAGTGAGAGGGCCCGCATAGAGAGTGCGCTGGGCCTCTGTCGTGGCGGATCATCCCAGCGAAGTTTGTACAACAAGCCCCAGGGTAAAGGCCATGAGAACCCGCTTCAAGAGTCCGTCAGGCACGGGAATACTGGAACTCGACGACGATGCCACCGTTGAAGCCCTGTTAGATGAGATCAAGGCCAGGACAGGGATCCGCCGCTTCATTGTCAAGTATGGTCCTCCGATGGCGATGAAAACGCTTGGCCCCAGCTACGCTCATGAGGCTGCGAGATCCTTCGGGCTTCATGGAGAGACTCTGACAGTTGTACCGGACGAGTCGAATGACACGCCTCCGGAGAGCACTACCGGAGCCCGCGACTTGCCGAGGGACAAGGTTGGGAATCGGCCTTCCGCGCAGAACGACTCCGCCGATGACATGGTTGTGCCGTGGCCAGAGAGAGAGGGGACTCTGTGCAAGTTACACCAACCGACATCGCTTGCGCCGGCCGTTGCTAACCAGCACCAGTGCTTCGAATCATGCCCAGCGACAACAGCTGCCTCTTCACTGCGTTCGGTGGAGCGCTTCCGCAACAGCTTCCCGCTCACCATTTACGGCGCATGATGGCAGACTATATCAACGAGCATCTGGACGTTTACTCGGAAGCCGTCTTGGGTTGCGACCCAGCCGAGTATTGTCGGAGCATCCAGGATCCAGATCGCTGGGGTGGTGGCATCGAGCTCAGTATCCTGTCATCAATCTTTGACATCCAGATATGCACGTACGACGTACAGGTGAGGCAAAGAGTGCTAGTACATGCCACGCACGACAGTAGCCAGCGGCTGACAACTTCCAACCTTGCAAGACGCAAAATCTGATGAAGTTTGGCGAGGACAAGCTGCAACGATGCATCCTCGTTTACTCGGGCATACACTATGATCGTGTGGCCTTTTCCTACTCCGACGCCCCCCATCTTGCCGCCTTGTTGCCGCCGGAAGTGGACCGAACACTTTGGCCCGTCGAGGACGATGAAGTTCTGCAGAGGACGCAGCAACTTGTGCAAAGGCTCAACTCCGCCCACTACTATACCGACACCGAAGGCCTCATTCTCAAATGTGACGTTCCAGGTTGCGGCTGGATTGGATCGGGCCAACACGAAGGGAGAAAGCATGCCGAGCTGACTGGGCACGTTCAACTGACCGAGATTGCCGACACAGAGGGAGACGCTGTGCTCCGCAAGTGCAATGCTCAAAGCTGCGACTTCATCGGGCAAGGCGACGGTGCAGTGAAACGACACCTCGACGATACTGGGCATACACAATTCTCTGTCATCCCAGACGTCTGACCGGGATTCTCGTTCAGTTCTGCCCCCCCCTCCCCTCCCTTTTTTTCTCATTCACTATCCCAGATTTTTCCTGCACTGCAATCAGAATTAGGCATGGTAGGCAGCTGGCATTACACCAAAGTCAAATATACTGCAGCCTAACAAATATCGTCCCCGATCGGCCCTGTTGGTGCATGGCTTCCATGCGACACATTGCATTCCTGCCCTCGCACAATGTCTCGCCGCTCGCCCAGTCTTTGAGACTCGCAGTTGCTGACGCCGTTGCTATAGCACCAGGCTGGCAATGACGCTGGCGTTAGGTGTAGGCTTACTAGCATCGCCACTGCACCCGGTAGCTTTCCCTGGCCGGCAGGACAGGCAGATAGTCTACCCAGTTGCTAGGCGAGAGGGACGGGAGCCCCATGATGTGGACAACCGTGGCGCATCATACTCGGGCTATTCGCCGCCGAATTTGACCGGGGAAGTGTTGACCAACTTCATCTTGTTTGGTCCGTATAGCCTCTCCAAGGATTGCCGTGCTTTATCGATATGGGGCGGAGTAGTAACAGGCTGTGACTCGGTACTATGGCTCATCCGTCTCTCGTGTTCCGCATTCCGCCGAGTCTAACAATCGCCTGGCTCGATGAGAGCTGAGCTATGTAGGCATGCATCAAACGCATGCGAAGACTGCGTGTTGTGTCTGTAACTCTGCAGCGCCAGCACAGGCCGTGAGTGTGGTGGTGCCAAGCTAACTTGGCGGTCTGCTCTCCAGTGGCCAAGGACTGGGGTCAAGGGTATCCAAATTTGCGAGTGAGAGGCTTAGAAACTCGTGCTTATTCCTCCATTCCTGCTGGCCAGACACAAATTCCTTCATTTTTGCCGGAGGAGGAGGGGGGTCAGTGATCTTAGTAATGAGATATGCCGTGGAAGCCTCCGCGATGCCGTATATGAAAACTCCAACAAGGGGGACCCTAATTAGAATGTAGAAGCCTAGTCCGAACCCGAACAGGACACCCTCACGACTTCTAAACCAATTGCGTTTTTCGGCGTGGGAGAAGCGAATGCGAGCGAAATAAGGCTCAAGGAGTTCCCGCATGAGGCTTCGGGATGCAAAGTATGACTGAAGGAAGATGATGAGATACCGCTTGGGCAGCACCACTCCCAAACCGAAGACGGCACTCGCAGGACCTAGACCGACGGCCCTGTTGAAGGTGTAGAAACTGGCTGCGGGCAGCACGAACTTTCCGACCAGCGGTAGGTAAGAAAGTGCGAATATGGCGACTGATATACAGCCTCTCCGGGCAAACCTGTATAGGAACATGGAGAGGGCCTGGGCTGTGCTTTCCGAGTGTGTGCTCCCGTCCACAACGCGGTACTGTCGCAGGTTCGGGTAGTACATGTCCCGAAGTTGGTCGGGGTGTTCGCTCTTGTGCTTTTGGACATATGTAACGTCGACCCACTGAAGGGACTGCATGAACCTGAATCATCATGAGCAAGTGCACGGTGGGCCTGGCTTGCTGCTAAGGCTCTTCTCACAGATTATCCAGAGTCGGTACAAGGTACCGCATAAGGGCCATGAGAAAGAAGGGAAGCTGGAGGACATATTCGCCGACGAAATTAAGTCCGTCAACAAGCGAGTCGTCCCAGGATACCTGGTCCATGGGGTAAACCAGTGCCATGAGCCAGAGCAACACCCTGACACCCCAGATCTGCGATTTGCGTGGCCTTGGATCAGCCTGGCTCGGTCACCGGGCGTGCGAGTGGTGTTCCGGGGGGACCTACAGGAATGGCCACGACGAGCCTGATGGCGATACCTGCCATGACTGCAAGAGCAGCCTGGCGGTAGTGGTCGCTGGTGAAGAGCGCAGGGTTCTGCAAAGCTCGATGAGCTTGACTCGGAGTCAGCCGGTACTCAGCGCCACGGGCTTGGGGTGAATTGATAAATCCGTTTCGCTGCTAACCTCCGACCAGGGTGAGTTGGGCGCCGCGGATCATGGCGTTGAGGTCAAAGTGGGAGACGTCGAACTTGGCTCTGAGCCGCTCAGCGTCGACGCCATGATCAAGGACTTGTTTAAGGCCATCGGCGGTCTTGCGGCGCTCGGGCTCTGGAGCGTCGGGCATTTGGGCAGTGAAGGGCACGCCTGGGTCGCCCACGAGCAGCAGCTCCGAGAGGAATGAAGAGCGGATGGGCAAAGTGGGCAAATAATGGCTGGGAGGTGGGATGCAGCCTGGTCTGGTAGGGGTAGCTCCAAGGCTGGATGGGTGAAGCTCTCGCACGCACGAGGGACTCGGGAGAGTGTGCAGGCAGGGTAGGTGATACACCACACGTTTTTCGAGTCGTAATTGGAAGGCGTGGGGTACTGTCTGCTACAGTGCTATGACGTCGCTTGCCTACCTTCGAGTAGGTATGGAGCACACACAGCCCAGGCTGCCCGGCCGTCAACCTAGAATAGCGGGGCTTCCCGGAGGCGTGGTGGAATTGTGAGTACTATTAGCAACAGGTCCCGGTCGCGTTTCCTTCGGCTCGACTTCGTAAACCAACACGCAGTGCCGCTCTCGTTGGCGAGGCGCTGGTCGCTCCCTGCGCCCCCGCATGTCACGCATCACCAATTGATGCCTTGCCGTCGCCACTCAATCCGTCGAAAACGCTTCATGGTATGCGACGTTGCCGCGGCGGCGCATGCGTGTCTCGAAGCGGCCGGACCATGAAGTGGCTGGCGGGCACTCCCTCGAGGCGCAGGTGCTCGTCGTTGTGGAAGCCGAAGCGTTTGTAGTAGGCCGGGTTGCCCAAAACAACGCAGCCGCTCGCTCCCGTGGCTCGGAACCGCCGCAGACCCTCTTCCACGAGCGACTGGCCGATACCCTGGCCCTGCAACCCGGGCCGCACCGAGACGGGCCCGAGGCCGGACCAACCTACGCAGCGGCCGTCCACCGTGATGCGCGAGAAGGCAACATGCCCGTGCACGACGCCGTCCAACGTCGCCACGAGGGAGACGTCGAGCGCCCCGGCGCCGCGAAGCTTCTCGACGATGGCCCCTTCCGTGCCGCTGCCGTATGGGGCATCCTTGAAGGCGGCGTCTATTACCTCTCGTATGTTTGCTTCGTCGCCCGGCTGCTCCTCTCGAATGAAGACGTCCATGGCGTCGGTCGGTCGTGGTATAGGCCGACGAAGCTCCGTCGGCTTGTGATGCGGGCCTCTAGTTGCGCTCCCCTCGATAATACACAACGCGGCGAATCTTGTGGTGGCTGTGATGCAGCGCCTTGGGAGAATGCCTTCGCCTCGACACGCCGTCTAGTGGGTAGTCAGGCCAGGCTCCCACGTTTCTGCTCCTGATATCGCAAGTGGGCTCATCAGGGCTAAATGTGCACGCAGATCGATCCGAGTCTGGAATTGCCTGGGTTATAAGGTTCGGCTATTATTAAATTCCTAATTACTTAAATACGCCTAGAAACAGTACTTTATAATATTAATAACTATCTTCTTAATTAATATTTTATGGTAAAATTACTTAGCTATAATAATATAGTAAAAATATTATAAATATAGATTAATTTATAAATTATATATATATTAAATTATTATTTTTAAGCTACTTATAATAAGTATATTAAGTATTTCTAAAGGTATTTAGTTAATAATAGTAGCTATAAGTCCTGAAGTATATACCGGTGCTCTAAATAGGTACCTTAACAGCATAACGATAGCTTAGCTAAGTATTAATATATGTCGTACTTAGTACTACGGTAGTACGGCACCTCAAGCGGGCTTTCAATGTGCCAGTGGGTGGACTCCCTGAGCACACTCTGCCAATCTGCCCCTCAGTCGGAGCATGCAACCTTCAGCCGCCAACATCCAGCACATCCTCGAGCCGAAACATCCTCCCGTCGCCACATATTCCGACTGTACCAGACAGTCGAACGGCCACCGGTCCCGTCGCGTAGAGCCGCTGCATCTTTGGGACTCGCCATCGGCCCCGCGAGAAGGCATGGTTGGGAACCTACAAGCCGTCCCAGTCGCGTTAGTCGCCATGTCTGCGGTTCGACACTCATTCGCTACCGCCCGTGCTCCTGCGCGATAACTCCTCATTCTTCCCGCCACATGGATACTCCGTCGTCTCCCCCGGGCCCCCGGCGAGCTTCGACGGCGCCTATGGCCACGCCGCTGGCTGGCACGGGCATTGATTCGAAAGCCGGCGTTGAGACCCTCTTCAGCCATCCGGATGTCAAGATCATATCCTTCGAAGCACGGGCCAGTCGTGTACTCGATGCCACACCCGCCACGAAGACGAACCCCGATATCGATGCCGGCTCCCTGCCGTGGAAATCTCCGCTTGAACGTATCATTGCCGTCGGTAAATATTGACTCGAAATGCCGTCGTTTCCGGGGTCGCGGGGCTGACGGGTGCTACAGGGACATTTCGTGTATACCGCGCTCCCGGCTCGGTTGCTTTCCTAAGCGGCGGATCGGCTTTGCAGCCTATATTGCCTAAAAGCCAGTGCTGGTGCGTGGATGAGGATAACAGCAGATTTGTACTGCAGATTCGGCGGCCCCATTTTTGGAGGATCGAGCTTCCAGTCGCCACGTACGAGGAGCAAGTGATGGCTCGCAGCTTTCGGGACATCCTGAGCAGCGTCCTCCAGTTTGAGAAGACCCAATGCCCCTTCCGGCGGTCTTTCACCGTCGCCCTTCCAGAGGCACCGGATGAGCCCGTCAGGAAACGACCGTGGGTAGGCAGACTGCCCCTGAACCCGGTCGAGACTGCGCAATCATCGCGACGGATTCTAGCACCCTCTGCAGGCGCCAGCACCTGGTCTGGTTCAAGAGGCTTGCAGGGCGTCTCAATTACATTGAGCCATCCGCGCACCCCAGGGCATTTCATGTCGGCTCATGCGCGTCACGGCACGCCGCCGCCGATGTCCGAGGAACGCAAAGCCAGTCAAGTTTTCGGGCCATCCAAATCTTTGCCGGCGCCTTGCTGGCCCGCAGGCAGTGCCTCTAGGCGGCAATCTGTTGCACCGAACCCCCTTTCACCGTCGGAGCAGGGCAGTTTCGCACAAAGTGTGCCTTGCCGCACTGCTCAAGATGTAGCTGACTGGCGAAGCTCGAATCAGGCCCTTGAGGCGAAAGATATTTCGCGAGTTTGCAAGGGGCGGCGGCTCACTGTCCCAGCAGACGTGCTGGATCGCTTCCAATTGCCACTTGAGCCCACAGACGCCGACGGACCTGAAGATATCCCAGAATCATCTCCGGCTGCGTCGCAGGCGGGTTCATATGACACATTCTACAGCATAGAATCGTCAATGTCACTGAGCACCTCGGGGTCTTCTTATCTGGCGGGACCATACACCCAGTTGCCTGGTGTGCTGTCGTGTAGCGGTGACGGCGACCATACCATCAGAAGCGACCGTCGTGCATCTGAGGATTACGCACGTTTCAGCAGCCCGAACGCAGAATTCATTGCGTGCGACGAATTCTTCGACGTGGACTCGCTGCATGAGGATGAGGGCGGCTCCTCGGGGTTCGCTGTATCACGCCCAAGTGCTAGGCGTCGAAATGCCAAGGATCGGTCCGAGCCGACTTCAGCAGCCAAGGACGAAGAGCCCGACGGCCAGCCTTGTTCCAATGGCAGGCCGGACGCAGGGGGCCTGGCGAAGAGATTGCCTCTTTCGCTCATTTCCAAGACATACGAACTGTTACTCGGGCCTCCAACGCATCTGTTAACTCTGATGCTCAGAGTCGCAGCGAAAATATGCGCTGGAGAGTGGCGGGGTCGGGTGGACGGCTACGGAGAAGCGGGCGAGCACATCCCCGTGCAATGGGACTACTCCAATGGCGAGCTGAGTGACTGGACTGACGATGAGTGATGAAGACGGTATAGCCTTGGGCTCCCTGCAACGAGGAACGTTGCGGGTAGCCGTTGGGGCAGCCATGGCGTCTTTGAGCAGCCGCCGCATTCACAGATGCCGATGAGCGCCTGAACCAGGCTCCAGCCAAGCACTCACTTTCAAAGTCTTCACACACCTCCGGCCTGGCTCAGGTGGAGCCACGAAGGAGCGGTAATGCTGGAAGGCACAGCCGCACCCGGCACGGTGCGACAGCGTCGTACCCGTCAACGGCCATCCGCGCCTGATTTGTAACTCGACTCTCTAGATCTCCTCTGTTGCGAGTGCCTCCCCCGACCGCCGTTGGCCTTGCGGAATATAGCCATGAGCTGTCGCGTCCGGCAGCAAGGACCTGTCCGCATCGGCATTGCACAACTGTGCTTGGCAAGTCGATGGTGACAGCTTTTCAGGGCGCATGGCGCGAGCTCAGCCGTGGACGTGGCGCCCCCGGTAATTTGACTCCGCCGGAACATCTCACCAGGGGTAGCCGCTGCAGCCTGTGGAGCTTTAACCGAACAATTCGACACCAGACACATGGAGCGAGGCATGGAGGTATGCGGTGCCAAGCTTGTCAGTCTGTCTGTCATGGCGCTCATCACGAGCTGGGTTGTGGGTAGCTGGTGGTCACGACACGGGCAACACGACGGGGGCGCTGCACCCACGGCACGAGTCGCACGACCAGGGGGCGGGATGTGTGGGGCGGGCGGCTCTCGCATCTCGCATCTGGCCGATACGACCAATACGGCCGGCAGGCAGCATGATGGCCCTCGCTCTCGCCTGCCGGGCGTATGTCGAATGGTGTGAGACATGAACGCGACCATGGACAGATATAAAGTCGAGAGAGGCGGCATCGATGGGATGATGGCGAAGCCGAGTAGAACCAGCTCGCCACGCAGACAGTCATCATGTCCGACGGGAAGTACGGTGAGCCGACGAAACCCACCCCCATTCATTCCATTTGACTCGAGACTGATCCAGGGTTGGTAGTCGACGGGAGCTACTTCTTCTACGCCCCGAACAAGGGGGCCGCAATCTTTTTCGCGATAGCGTTCCTGGCTTCGGGGGTATGGCACACCTGGCAGGCGTGGTATGTTCGATCCGCCCGTGGATGCAGGAAAGAAAAACACATGCGCTTACGCAGCCAACAGCCATTATAAGTGCTGGAAGTTGACGCCTCTTTTCCCATTTTGCTGTTTGCTCTTCGTCGTTGGATTCGTCCTGCGCGAGTACGGAGCCTTTCACTATGACAACCTCAACGTGTACATCGCAAGCATCTGCATCACTTATGCCGCTCCGTGAGATGCCGCCCCGCGCCCTCCATCTATGGGACAACGTGTCGCTGACTGGTACCTGTCTATAGGCCATTACTGGAGCTGCAAAATTACCATGTACTTGGCCGAATTCTCTACTACGTGCCCTACCTGTCGCCCCTCCACCCCGGACGCGTCCTCACAACTTTCGGCTTTGTCTCCGCCATTGTCGAAGCTCTCAACGGCTGGGGTGCGTCGTACTCGGCCAACCAGTCGCTGAGCGACAGCGAAATGGCAGCCGGCCATGCGTTGATCAAGGCGTCGCTCCTGATTCAGATCTTCGTGGTGGGTAGCTTCATTCTGCTCGCAGCCCTATTTCACCGCCGGTGCAGTGTGCGGGGGATAAGAAGCCCCCGTTTGCGTGGGCCCCTGATAACGCTCTATGTGAGCACCGGCCTCATCCTGGTGCGGACCATCTACCGCATCGTCGAGTATTTCAGCGTTGCCAAGCTCAAGTTCAGGGAGGCCGGATTCGACCCCATGTCCATGTCACCGATTATTCGCTATGAGTGGTTCTTCTACGTCTTCGAGGCTGCTGTCATGGCTTGCAACTGCGCCCTCTTCAACGCTCGCCATCCTAGGCGCTATTTACCTCGCAACAACATGATATACTTGGCCCAGGATGGGGTCACCGAGGTTGAGGGACCCGGATTTAAAGACCCCCGACCGTTTTGGCAAACACTGGTGGATCCGTTTGATCTTCGGGGCCTTGCCAAGGGGCAAAGCAGCCAGACTGCCAAGTTCTGGGAGGATGGTGACGGCCAGGCGAGGTCGAGCACGAAAGGTACCGACTCTGCTGTCGGCGCAGACACGGGCCACGGAAAATGAGAGCGGGATCGAACGGTTGGAATACTTACAAGGCAGCCGTGCGCTCTCCTCCCTTGTCTTCTACTTCTGATGCCTCATACCCATCGTTGAGCTACATGCATGTGCGCCATGGGTGGCGCGGGCGAGCGTTTGGCCGTACAAGTAGTAGAGCACTTTAATCTTTTCACGTCCTTCTAGACGACCGCGTGGACAAGGGGGTGTGTGTACGAGACGCTGGCGTTGCGATGGTCGGGTTTTTTGGCCTAGGATATCGCTCAGGATATTGCGCCCTGGGCACAATACAGTCGGAACCGCACCATCGTCCACGTCTTCTCTTCGGGTACGCGCATCGCCGGCGCAGTGATGGTCCAACCCCGCGCGCCATGTGCCCACCGCAGGCTGCTGTTGGATGAAACCACCAATGTGTGTGCTTATTATGGTCTGGCGGGGATCGATCCTACTAAATGCTGGGCTGACGCCATTACGCCTGGGATCTTTTGGCGGCTGTGCTGGATCAGCCAGCTTTCTTTAGATACGCATGACCCTGTCCCGCTCACGGTCCGTTTCGCCACGAGAAAACGTATCCTGGTTTCCACACCACATTGACCTGCTACACCCCCAAACAGCGACTGACGAAGAGCGTCGTCTTCTCCACAGTCTTGTTCGTTCTCCGATCTCGACCGCTCCGACGGAGAAAGTAGTCTCATCGCGACGTCGTCACTTCATCGTCGACCCGACGGCACGACGTTGTCTGGACCTCCAGGCGCCCGACACAAAGACTCCGACGATGGCGCTTGACAGACATCAGCCCAATCTGGAAGGCCGGCCTGGCCTCTACGTCCACGTCGAGCTCGGGTTGACATGGCGTACGTCGAAGACACGCCATCTCACGTACATGTCCAAGGGCCTCCGCCCTCGTCGCCGCGTCCCACCCAACACCAACTTCTTGGCCGACGACCACTCGTGTGATTCTCACGACCGTTGCGCTTGCTCCTGCCACAACCACCGGCAGTACTACCACTACTACCACCATGCCCGAGCGATACCCGCCGCAAGTGTCCCGATGCAAGAGCAGGAACCCCCCATGACTCGCCTTGCCGTTCCTCAAGCACTACGCCCTGGGCAAGAGCAGTCACGGTCAAGATCTCGCTCGAGGTCCACTAGAAGCAGCACCGCAGGGATATACAGAGGCAACTCTGCTCCGCCGCCGTTCAACGACAGCCCCTGGGATGCGGACCCGGAGCCAATGACCGCAACGGCACTTCCACGCCGAAGGTCACCTCCACGGCTTTACAAGGCTTTGCCCGCCATCCCCTCGCAACGCCGCTTAGGAGAGGACGAAATGCCTTGGACGGTGGCTTCTTCTCCGTTTCCCGTATCACCGGACTGCACTATTAATGAAGGACAGCACGGGGCTTACTTTGACGATCGTGCCCGGGGTCGTGCTCTCGAGATGCAGTCTCTGGCGGCAGCTCTAATAACAGTAGATAATGGTTTTGAGGATCAGTGGTGGTATCAGGGGCAACGCCCGATAGAAACCGGGTTACCTTAAGGAGGAGACTATACTAGTTAGGCACGCATGCCGGGGCTAGCTAGAGGGGTTATATAACGCTAAGCGCGTAAGGATAGTTATTAACGACTAATTAATATATTATTAATTAAACTTATTAAGCTTTAGTCTTTATATTAAAGTTAAGAGATATAAAATATTTATATATTAAAGTTAGTCTATTAATTAAATTTTAATAATAAATAAAAGAGTATATTTTAATATTTTTATATATAAAATATAAGCTTAATTATTTATAATAAAAGGTTATAAATTTAGCTTTTATTATAATTAAATTAAATACTTATAATTTAGCTTTATATTACTTTAATAAATAATAATATAATAAAATTTATAAAATAGTTTATTATAATTTAAAGATACTTTAAAGATTTATTAAATATTTAATTAAATTTAATATATAAATATTAAATTAAATATTTATTAAAGTTAATATTATAATTATAATAAAAAGGTTATTTTAATTAAGTTTTAATATTATTAATATTAATATTATTAATATTATTATATTTAAGTATAAAAAAAGATTTAATTTAATTTAAGAGATATTAAAGGTTACTTTTTTAAATTAAAGTTTAAGCTTAATTTAAGCTATTTATTAATTATATATTATAAAATAGAAAAAAATATTATAAAAGGATAAAAGTATTATAATTATAAAAGTATTAAAGATATATATCTTTACTTTATTAACTTATAATATAATTAATATAAATTAATTAATTAGCTTTTATTTATTAAAAGTAATATTATTTATATAAATAAAAAAGTCTAGCTATATAAATAGCCCTATAATTAATATTTTTCTAGCTAATTTTATATTACTTAGCCTATAAATATAAATTACTATAAAAATAATTATAAATACTTTAAATTAAAGCTTAAGAATTATAATAATATTTATATAATTAGACTTTTTTATTTATATAAATAATATTACTTTATTATTATTATTATTATTATTATTATTATTATTATTATTATTATTATTATTATTATTATTATTATTATTATTATTATTATTATTATTATTATTNTATTATTATTATTATTATTATTATTATTATTATTATTATTATTATTATTATTATTATTATTATTATTATTATTATTATTATTATTATTATTAAAGTAATATTATTTATATAAATAGAAAAGTCTAGCTATATAAATATTCTATATTTTTTAAAGCTATATCTTACTTTTAATTTATATTAGCTATTTTTAATATATAAATATAAGATAATAATAATATATTATAATATATATTAATATCTTAATAATAGTATTAAATTATATTATAAAAATATAATTAATTACATTATATTATTATAATATAATTAATTAATATATAAATAAATTAAAGTTATATTTCTATTATCATATAATAATATTATAATATTAAATTTATATTATTTTACTTTAATTTTATCTTTTTAAATATTATATATACCTTTTTATTTATATTTTTATTTATACTTTTATTTATACCTTTATTTATATTATAGTTTATATTATTATTTATATTATTATCTATAATATTATCTATAATATTATTTATTAACTTTTATATTAATTATAATATATTAAAAATTAAAGTAATTAAAGTAAGTAAAATATTAATTTATTATATTATTATAACTTTTAAGCTTTAATTTAAAGTATTTATAATTATTTTTATAGTAATTTATATTTATAGGTAAAGTAATATAAAATTAGCTAGAAAAATATTAATTATAGGGCTATTTATATAACTAAACTTTTTTATTTATATAGATAATATTACTTTTAATTATTTAAATAAGCTTTTATTAAATAAGCTTATTTATTAATTAAATAATATAAAATATATATTTAAAAAAGTTTTAAAAAAAGCTTATTTTTTTCCTTAATAATAATATTATTTATTAAAATAATTAATATTAAAAGGATTAAATATAATATAATTACTTTTTACTTTAATTTATTTATTTATAAAAATTAATATTTTAGCTATTTAATTTAAAATAATAACTTAAATAAAACCCCTTTATAAAAGGCATATCGATAATATATATTAAGAGTAATATTATTTATATAAATAAAAAAGTCTAGCTATATAGATATTCTATATTTTTCTAAGGCTATACTTTACCCTTATTTTATACTAGCTATTTTTAATATATAAATATAAGATAGTAATAATATACTATAATATATATTAATATCTTAATAACGTTATTAAATTATATTATAAAAGTATAATTAATTAAATTATATTATTATAATATAGCTAATTAATATATAAATAAAGTAAAGTTATATTTCTATTATTATATAACGATATTATAGTATTAGATTTATATTATTTTACTTTAGTCTTATCTTTTTAGGTATTATATATACTTTCTTACCTATACTTTTATTTATACCTTTACTTATACCTTTACTTATACTATAGCTTATACTATTACTTATACTATTATCTATAATGCTATCTATAGTATTATTTACTAGCCTTTACGTTAGCTATAATATATTAAAATTAAAGTAATTAAGGTATTAATTTATTATATTATTATAACTCTTAGGCTTTAATCTAGAGCGTTTATAGTTACTCTTATAGCGACTTACGCTTATAGGCTAAGCGGTATAGGATTAGCTAGAAAAATATTAGCTATAAGGCTATCTATATAGCTAGACTTTTCTATCTATATAAATAGTACTACTCTATATTAAAGGTAGGGTTAATAGCTAAGGTACTTAAATAGAGAGGTATTACTTTAATATATATATTTCTCTATTTACCTATATAGCCTTATATATTAAATAGGCTAAGTAAGCTAAGTAAGCTAAGTAAGTATATACTAAGCTATCGTTATATAAGCTATTAAGTAAGCCGCTATTAGAGTAAGCTATAATATTAAGTAAGACTAATTAAATTACTTAATAATGCCTTATAGCTAATAAGTAACTACTTACTTAATATTAAATATATAGACTAACTATATATATAGTTTACTAACGAATAAGCGAGTAATTCTATATAAAAATATATATATATAAGTAAGCTATAAATAAGGCTTAAACCGGTATAATTTAAATAGACGTTTTATTAACGTTTAATAGCCTTAAGTAGCCTAGAGGTAGTTAAGTAAAGCGAATAATACTATAAATATATATCGCTAACTATAAACCCCTATATATACTATATTATATATATATCGCTATTATAATAACTATTACTCGCTAGATTAATATAAGATATCTAAACTAGTAAAAAATAAAAAATTCTAACCCTTAAAGCTATTCGGCGCTCTTATATATAGACTTATTAAGCTAGATTTAAGAATACTATTTTAATTAAATTTAAAGACTTTAAACCTTAATAATATATAAGTTTAATACTTAGGCTTATAAGTAAGCTAGCTTAATATAATAGCTTTTACCTATTTATTATAACTCTAAATAAGTATTAAGGACTATTTAGTACTATTATATAACTTTATAATAATAAGGGTCCTTATTACTAAGCTATAAAGAACTATTATTTACTTACGTATATATCTCTATTTACTTACGTTATATATAGTATATAAGCTTACCGCTAAGCTATTATAGCTTAATAGCCTAATAGCCCGCGCTACCTTTAATTATTATAATAGCTATATAGCCCGCGATACCTTTAATTACTGCTATAGCTTAATAGCTATAAGAGCTTTAATTATTACTAGCCCGCTAGGTTACTAGCCTATTAAGTTACTAGCTTATTATAACCGCGGATATAAGCTATATAACTATAACTATATAGAGCTCCGGTTTATATAAGCGGGCGTAAGTAAATAGAGATATATATATAAGTAAATAATAGTTCTTAAGCTATATAGCTATTTATAGTTACTTAAAACGAGCTTCTATAAAGGGATATTTAATTATTTAATTATATAAGGGCTATATATAATATTATAAGTCTAGAAAGATAGCTACTATATAGCTAGTATATATTAAAGTATATAACTATAATGTATATATTATAACGAAAGGGGAGATATGTCTATTAAGCTTAACTAGTCGAGATATAAAGTACGCTAAATTTTAAGTAACGGAAATTATAAATAACTAAAATAACCCCTTAATAACGCTAGTAGACTTTCTAAACCTAATCCTTCTAATAAGACTAATATATATAATGCTAGCGCTATAGCGCTAGTAACGCTATTATCCTATAATGCCTTATTACTTACGTTAATACCCTATATAGTATTTCTTCCTCCTTTAATAGTATAGCTATATTTAGTTATTGCGAGAGCGGCGATAAAGATATTAGTAAGCGAAATTAATAGTATTATATCTAGGCCTCTTATAGTAAGGCTAAGAGAAGGCGTTAAGGAGAGAGTAATAGCTTAGATAATATTATATCGGTTATAAGCGTAGGCGGCATTAGCGGTAACGGTCATTAAGGTAGAGGTAAAAGAAGAGGAAAACTACTAGCTAGCTAAAACGAAGGCTATAAGGGCTACGAGGGCTATAAGGGCTATAAGGGCTATAACGGTAGTAATAAGTAATATAAAGGGCGCCTTATTAGCTTTCTAGTCTTAAGCGGCGCTAATAAAAGAGTATATTAATCTTTATATAAAGAAGATCGCGATAGTCTATTAAGCATTAAATTAATATAGATAAAGGAAAAGCCTAGCTAATAATAAAGATAATTAATATCTTATAATACTAAAAGTTAAAAGATTAATAGAAGAGTAAAAAGGGAAGGTCTTAGATTAATATTATAAGTAAATTTTTATATTAATTAGTAAGGTAATAATTAAGTAAGTAATAGTTAATAAGCTACTCTATTTTAGGGATACCTTAATAATAAACTTATTCTATAAAAGGTAAGCTCTCCTAACCTTAATTATAGTATAAATAAAAGCGAATTATAGCTATAGATATAATAATATAATAAGATAGTAAAAGATTATATAAGGTATTAAGACTATACCTTACTTATT